TGTGCGAACCCGGCCTGGATTGCAGATGGGCCCTTAACCCCCCCATGGGAAATTTGAAACCGTATCATTGTTTCTTTTTTGTTTTGTCTTGCAGACAGGCAACAAGTTCATTTGACAAGCGCCACCAGCAAGCGCGAGCCAAATTTCGAAGGACTTCTCCTACCAACTATACGCACCATCTTTATTACTGACCGTGTCCAGATACTTGCTGTAACCCCACTTGCAAAAAACTGAACCAAACATACTAGTAAAGTGAGAAACCTCCCCCAAGAGCCGTGCGCGGGAGTTACCCAATGTAGAATGAGGGTTGAGCTAGGTACACAGGTACTACGAAGTACTAGGACGAGCTATGGCCTCACTTGAACCATGGTTCATCGCGGACATACCCCCAGGCAACCCCCCACCTTTCCGTCCCTTGTCTGTTTAAGATAAGGAGCCACCGACTAAAAGGTACGGTACCTACTTCGTACTGTATCTGAAAACGGAACATCTCCTCGAATATTTTATGCCACAAAAAAATGAGCTCGAGAACCAAGAGGATTTCAGTAAGCGGTATGCTTACCTAACAAATTGCTTGGCTGGAACTGAAAGCCGGGCTGGTGCAGGTTTTGAGGCGGTTAGATTATTTGCAGTTGCGGAATCTGGAGAGTCGGGAAATGAATGCCTCAGTCTCTCTCTCTCTCTCTTTCTCTCTTTCTACCAGTCTTTCTTACCCTCTCTTTTGTACGGAGGTGGAGACTTTGAACATTCACTGACTGGTACGGAGTACTATAGTTAGGGACGGACCAGACAGGGACTAACCCAGTTCAGAGATCGGCTTACCAATTCTCAATGAGGAATGGATCAAAGTGAGCGATTGAGCGAGTGAGTGGAGAAGGGGAAGTGCGGCGTGAAGAGCAGCCGACAGGCGCTTTGGCCGGCGATCACTGATCAGACGCACATCATCCTCCCTAAGCCGAACGGGATCGTCCAGTCGCTGGATGCGCAGCCAGACTGAAGTCTGCAGGTTTGAAATTCGGCCATCTTTCACCAGCCGACCAGCCGCACCTATCATAAACTTCCCAGCCTTGCTAGATGCTAACAGCCACTCGGACCCTTCGCTCAGGAACGCTCCGACAGAACCTGGCCTACCAGCTTCACTCGCTCTGGAATGTGGGGAGGTGAGACGATTTCCTTTGAGCCTCAGTAGAGGCAGAGAGGTAACAAGAAAAGGTTCCATCTGTTTTCAAACATCCACAATATGGGCGACGGTGTCACGACTTCTCGACTGATACATGATCGTCATACCTCTGGCTCGTCCCAAAGGCCAAGTATTGCCCCCGAACCAAACGAGACTCGATCATCGATGCGGTGACGACCACTCTCTTTTTCTCACCTACTGATGATGCATCGCTCGGAGAATCCCAGTCTCAACGGTCGCTCTTTCATACTGCAGATGGAATCGGACAAACGGCACTGTCGATTATAAGACGCTAGACGGCTACTGGACGGAATAGTCCCTTCGACAGACGTCGAAGAAGGTTATTTCTGGACCCGCTTTTTCCTTTTTCCATCTTTGCTTTTTTTTGCCATCTTTCCTTTTTACCTCTTTCGGTTTCTGTTGATGATGGGGCGCTGCCAGCAAGATTCCAAGGTTTCTGACCTGTCACGCGTCATTCGTTACTTCAGTCCTCAGAACGCCATGCGAAATGAGCTCCAAACTGGACAGATCATTCGTACTGAACACGTTGCTTGCGTCCCCTGAAACTTGGGGGATTCAGTAAATACTGGGCTGGCTTTTTGTCATACGATCAGGCCTAGCACGTATTGTCCAGTTTCTCGCTGAATTCAACTGCGAAACCTCTTATTGCTGTATCCTCCGAACATCGTGGGCTCTCCCTGAAGAATCCTCATCAGAGAGATACTCCACTGCCTTGGGTCCTGCTACTCAATCTTCCCTTCTTAGCTATCGACACAAGAAAAAAAAAAGGAAAAACAAAAAGACAAACAAAACGGTCGCTCGTGAGTCGACAGTCGAAGAATATCGGAAAATCAGGGAATATAGCAGTTGTTGCTAAAGTTCGATCCAGGAGCGATCGAACCTCACTAGACCCATCGCGCAATGTCACGTTCGATCCCTCGAGCAAAAAGCACATGGACTTGGTTGTAGTTGGTGGTGGGAGTTATGCGGTGTACTGTACATTGCGAACACCTTATCGATATTAAACCTTAGCCTAGTACCTGCGCTGTTGCTACCATCTCACATGAATTTACGCAAGAGGTTCGAATTATTGTCTCCATCGCTACTGCATGACCCTGTCTATTAAAGTTACTTTGGACATATGGTGTGGATTTGAGTACCGACACATTGTATGAATGGCATTGCCAGCGCTGGTAGCAAGATATCCAAGCGCAACAGAAAGCTCATCACCCATATGGACATGTCTTCGTCGACTTCTTTGATCCTATATACTCATGGCCGATTGTCCGGTAGACTATGCAATTAAGTCCCCCGCTAAAGGGGGGTGCAACACTAAGGAACGGGATCTGTGGTTTGACAGCTCCTCCGCTGGGCTCCTCGGAACCTGGACAAACACAACCCTCAAAGTCTCGGTACTCTCTCCGGCCATGGATCCCGCTGGGTTGAAATGGGTAACCCGATGAACTCTCAGCGGTATTATCAGATGAATCTTTTGGATACATAATAGTAACATGTATACGGAGTATACGGGAATAAAATGGAGAAGTATTCCGCCATTGCTTTGCTAATGTTAATCAATTAACTAATCTGTCGAGTATGGAGAGACTGCAGTGGCAGAATGGGAAAGGCGGAAAAGGCAACCCAGCCACAGTACACACTACTGCGCCTCGGCAGCTGAGCCACACCTAGTCGGGCCTTCCTTCGCAGTAGGTACTGTACTGTACATCGTACGGATACTGTACATGCATTACTGTACCTCTCGGTAAGCGGACGACCCCCTCTCTCCTCTACCTTCCTCCAAGCTTCATTTCCCCGTCTGAGCAACCTGCATCGTCGATCCAGCTCGCATCATTCAGACAGCCAAGAACTGGAAAAGCCACTGCCTCAGCCGCACAAAGGCAATCTCACCAGTCACCTACAGTGCCTACTGTATGTACTGTACAGTATGGAGTACTACTCATGTACTACTCAGTTATCGATATCTTCCCGTCTTGGAACGAACTTCGCACATCTTCTTCCAGGGCGATTCTATTGATCGTTTTTGTAAACACACGAGGCTCTCTTCCTTCAAATGCTTGAACCTCCGACCATACGGTCAATTGATCTCCTTGCTGCCCCTCTGACTGCTTGTTCGCCCTATCTTCTGACTATTTTCGTTCCTACGAGAAATGACAACAATGACGTCAACGAAGCCGGTGTGGCTGTCTTATCACCAGAGCTAGCTACAATCTAGCCTCCGCCAAACCCCGGGTCTTCTCTGCTCTGGAGACACGATACCTACCCACTTGGCAATACTCGCTTTATTGAGTCGGAGCGCCAAGGCACAAAACTTCTCCGTTCACTGCCGAACTCCTTACAACGGCGCTGGTACATCAAGTTCCTTGATTCTTCCCGACCGCTTCGGAAATGCATATGCATGGTCAGCTGATGCTGCCAACAGTCCCAGACTAGTGGCATACAGAAGAAGCTGTCTACCGCTCTTTGACCGATTCACCTCTTGCAGAACGAAAGTAGACACAGGGCTTGGACGCTATTGTCGAGGTTAACGCAATCATCTTCATAACACCTGTCCGCTGCAGTTGCCGTGATGCTGCTCCGATCTCTTAGGAGGACCCGGTGAGATGTCCTGAAAATCGGTAACCCAACTGAGAGCCCCTGCAGCACGGGCCTGTGTGTTGCAAGGAGTCGGGAGCGGATAATTCAACCGTGCAAGGGTTCCTGCGGTGATTTGACCGATTCGAATCTACTGATATCGCTGCCGCCAAGGCCGTGGTAGATCTTGCTTTAAATGATCAACATCTTCTTCATTAAGAACTTGAGCACGGAGTAAGAGCAGCCAATATATTGAAACCTGGTTTAAGCCAGTACTCATGGACTACGTTCTTCCGTTCCGAATGCGGAGAAATTGGCTGAACTGGAGATCATTCAAGGAACAGATGCAGAAGAAAGAATTATCAACGGCCGACCCCACTGACTGAAATCCTTTAGTTCCGAGAAGACGTTGGAGATCTCCATCTTGAAATCTGATGAAGAATAATCATGACAACGCTAAGCCTTGGTCTTCTCGAACTTCTCAATCCCCCTTCCCTTCTTCACGCTTGTCAGGAAAATAGTGCAGCGCCTTGCGCCTGTTCTTTGCCTCAGTCTTTACAGGACAAGGGAATTCACTAGCTGGAAGGCTGCCTATGGCGCATCTGTTGCCACCGTCTCCGTCGATAGAGAACAGAATACGGTCACCTGTTTCATTTCAGTATTGCTGAAGAGTCGATCCCGATCTCCTCGTTCAACTTTATCGTTGTTAGCCATGAATCCTCCCATATCTCGGGCTACCAAGAACATTCACTGCCTAAATCATAGCGCAACATGCTTCTGGCATACTGGTGTTCTACATCAATGAAATTTCTATGCCTCAAATCCGACCGTGCCTACACTGAAACACAGCGGATACTACTGGCAGTGGCGTTTGCCTGGAGATCTGCAGTCACAGTGAACCCAGCCGTTTCTTATCCTCGATTGCGAGTCTCCAGACTTTGACTCATAGCCATGTCGCTGTGGCTGATGCCAGTGCTTTCCTTGTCAAGTTCACGATTACGGATAATAATCATAATTAACGTAGATTGGAACATCAAGCTCCCTTTCACGCAGATGCCCTGAACTGCGTCCATGGTGGAATGCCTCTGTCTTGATGCAGGTACATCGTTGAGTTAGTCATGATTGACGGTTTCTCTTTGGGACCGCTGTTATCCATTCGACTACGATTGACTAAAATCATGAAGCCACTCGAATGATCAGCTGTTCCTGCCTAACAGCCAGGTTGGAGAAGCGTATCAGAAACAAATTGGCTGTGGGAAGGAGGAAATTAATATCACCAATATCAGCGAATGAACAGATGCATGATCACTACCGGAAAGTCACACAATCAGGGTCCGTCCGTGTCTTAACTGTTGCGCGACCTCCCGTGCTTCGTTCTATTCCTGATTGATCGAATCTGCTGCAAGAAAGGGCCCGTCGTCAGCATTTGCAGCCATAGCTTCTTAAGGGCGGAGTGGAGTTGGCCTCCAGGGGCGGCGATCCGACCTCTTAAGTACGCCCCTTGCGTCGCAGTATGTTCGAGTGCGAAAGCCCCCAATCAATGAGCCCACACAAGATTCTCTCGATTCAACATCGCCTCTCTAATATCGCCATTTTGAGTTGCATTGCATTGCATTGCATTGGCGTTGGGTACTCATTCCTGATCCTGACCTATGGTGGCGTGCAAAGGCTATACCATCTGGGATTTTCGCATCAGCAGCACCAACCCCACGTACTCGTGCACGACACCGCCCATCCTTCCACTTTGGTCCAACGGCGGTGGCTTTCTGGGGAAGATGGGCCCTTCGACGAGGGGGGTGAGACCAGGCCCGGGCTTTTCCAGTCGTCCATTCTCAACTACGTCATTTTATTGATTCTCCCAGGCGCTGTACTACCAGCGCACTATTGGCTGGAAATCAAGATTCATGGTAAGGACTTCATTTACTCTTACTCTATGGTTATTGCCTTTGGCATTCAACTAGTTATATTCAGCGAGCTAATGAACCGCCAGGGGGATCTCCAACTGACATCTGAGGTCCTGAGTTTGTACCTGGTCGAACGCCGCCAGAAACTTCTCAACCTCGAGTCACAAAGGGAACAAACCCTATGTCCTAGAAGAGAGAATGGGGCTGTTAAGATTTAAGGAACTTGAACCTAGTTAGTAAAATCATCCCCGACCACCAACTCAGGGCGCGTACTCCTGCCTAGTCTGTTGTTCCTTCTCCGACTCCGACCACACAATTATCCTTCTGACTGGAATGTGCAGCAGACAGTCCACCTAAAACCTAGCCATCCATATCACCCGTCACGGTTCATGCGCACACATCGCCTCCCACCGACCGACTTCTCTTCTCAGCTCGATCATCTCCTGCGAAAAAAATCCTACCTACATACATGGCATACTTACCAGCCCGACCATACCCACCACCTCTTGGGAACCATCAAATTCTCAGTATACTTTGTCCCTCCAAGCCCACCCGCGCACAAACCCACCCGGACATGGGGATCCTGATTTCCGAACCATCTAGTCCCGCTCATCAGTGCACGGACTTCGAATTTGACGCAGTGGAGATCATCGTAGATCCGTAGATCCTTTTAGGGTCGGAGATCGTCTGGCCCTTTTTTACATTCATTGTATAGTAGGTAAGTACTGTACATCCCGACCCATACGTGCATGTCCAGGATAGGAACGGTGAAGGAGTGCGAAGTTTCTAGCGGTCGCAAGCGAGACAACAGCCATGAAAAACAGGTTTCTCTCCTTGTTTTTGACTTTTCTTGCTTTCTGGAAGCCCAGTCGGTGTGCTGTATATGTTCTGTAGGAATCATTTGGTGCCTACCGTAAAATTCTCTCGCCAATGAGTCAGCAGCGTTCGATTTGGACTTGGTGGGGTCCAGCCTGCTTGGTTGGTTATATTGTTTGTTTCATTTGTTGGGCTCTGACCCTATTCCACTGGGATGTATTGGGATGCGATGGTGTGTCACTACAGTTGGAGTGGAGTGTAACGCTGTAGTCTTGGGGAGGATGCTTATCTGGCTAACGGTGGGGAAGAGGTTCAAGGTCACTTAGTGACTTTTACTGTAGTTGGTTTATTTCTACTTCTATGTCACAGTGTACTGTGTCGAAGGATAACCTGGGGCACTTACTAAGTGTCCTATCACAGTATAATTGGCATGGTGGGAGATGGGGCTGGTGGTGATGTACAGTACCATACCCACTTTACTGAGCCTTCATCTGTAGCACTGTACCTTTGGTAGTTCTCATGTTTCCTAGCCTTCCAGGGTCCATGTTTGTAAGTACCTGGATAGCCAGAATTGTGGCACTACTGGATATAGTACGCTGAGCATATATAGAGAATGTGTTTGTGTGAGGGTAGGTGGGTAGGTGGGGGCAGGTAGTATATGTCCGTTCCCAAGTACAGACTCCGTACAATTTACCCATACAGCAGTACATCCTGACCTTGGTGGAGTTATCCTTTATCGTCTGTAAACCCTGTAGCTTCCCTTGTGTTCTATTCGTTCAATTATTCCAGTTTCTCTTCCCACACGGGGCCAATCTTTTGCGGTTGGCGTGGCATATCTGGGTTGCTAATGCCGTGATATATTTGCCGTTCTCCGGCGAAGAAACTAGCTGATGTTCTACGGTTCTGTGCTCCATCATGAGATAACTCATTCGTTTGAATGATTTTTCTTACGTGGTAACAATTCCTGACTTATGATATATAACTCGCTTTCTCCTGTTCTCAAAGTACGGACCTTCGCGCTGAATGGTTCCTGATTGCTTGTCTGTCGATGGGCATCAACATGTGGGAATGTAGAGCACATGCCGAAACCGGAGTCTCCTGGACGTTGACCTCAGCCAGTACTAGGGGCCGAAATCTACTTCCTCATCCACACCAGTCTACGAAGGGGCTACTCTAGCAACCTCGAACTACAGAAGTCCAACTTTCAAACGTATCCGTCATCATTCACAGAAAGAACAAAGGTCTCAAGAAATAAAGTAAAAGGGGAAGTAGAAGTGAAGATAAAAGTCGAACCAACGACCTGGTCCCGGCGCCCGACTATCGTCTCCGTCCACTAGACAGACAGTTCCACCATGTTCACAGGTCGAAGGATCGGACATCAAAGCAATAAAGTTGAAACCAAGATGGAAACCATAACACAAACACAAGGGGGACAACCCTGTACAAAAAGTGGTATCAAGTCTGTAAAGTAGGATTACCCTGTTCCCCAACGAAGAAGTGACAAACAGAGAAAGAAGGAAGAAAATCAACCATGAAGCAAAAAAAAAAAAGAAGAATCGCAATAGTCAATGCCCCGTCCGCCTCCTTCCTTCCCAGAGTTAGTACACAGTAGTCGCCAAGCACAAAACCAGATAACAAGAAAAAAAAAAGCAAGAGGGGAAGAAACAAAAAGACGCAGGGTAGTGGATGGAAATCATGATCCAAGCAAAGAAAAAAAAAAACGCCAACCAATCTCTTTTTACCGTGAGTTCCCAATGTCGTATGCACAAGTCTCTCAATGAAGTTAGGTGTGTAAGTAAGGTGAGAAGATGATGGGGTATGAAGGTGATGAAGAGTAAACAAATGATCAATCTGAACTCAAAGACCTCGAAGTAGGTGTGGTTGTGATGTGGCGGAGAAGATTGTGGTGGTTGTAAATGATATCGAGTATCGTCCAGGTGTCCAAACATAGCGAGGTCTGAGAATTGGAAAGTAGAATGGAGGTGAAAAAAAGGGTTCCAAGGATAAGTGCTTCACACTTATTCGCTTGTAGAGAGATATTAAGATCTGAAACGAGTACAGAGTCGGTCGGTCTCCAAGAGGCCGCAACTATTTCATGCCATTTTGCATCATATTCTGTTGCTGTTGTTGTTGCATCACTTGAGCTTGCATGGCAGCCACCTGAGAAGCACGTTGTTGTTGAGCTTGCTCCCGCTCCCGACGCATCAATTCTTGAACCCAGAGTTTGGCATTGCGTTCAAGCCCAGCTTGATACTGTTGTGCGATTTGCGGAGGATACGAGGCGGGCGGGCCATACTGGGGCATTAGTCGGCTGGCCATTTCTTGTCTCAACCGCAGCAAGCGCTGATGGTATAGTTGATTGTATCGCTGGGCGATGGTGACACCCTGCGTCATGTTCACGCCTTGCATATTCTGCGGTAGATGGCCTCCATTCGCCTGGGCCGCGGCCATCAGCATTTGCTGTTGTTGAGGGTTTAGTTGCGGTCCGTTCTGATGCATTTGGCCCTGTTGCCCTTGCGCTTGTTGCCCTTGTGACTGTTGCTGTTGCTGAGCCATTTGCATCTGCGCGAGCTGTGCACGCATCAACTGGGCTTGGTAGGCTTGCGGATTCGGGAACTTGGCTTGCTGCTGTTGCTGTTGCTGCTGTTGCTGCGGCTGCTGTGGCTGTTGCTGCTGCTGGAAGTGCATTTGCATCTGCTGCGGCTGCTGCTGTTGTTGGTGGGCTTGGATATTCTGCTGTGCATGCGCATTCGCTTGCATTTGGGCCACCTTCGGCGAGAACTGACCGTGAAGCATACCCTGTTGGGCAAGGAGTTGATTTCTCTGTTGCATAAGCATCTGTTGCTGCTGCTGGGTTGTGAGGCCCATCCCGTTGTTCATTTGAGGGGTCGCCATCATGGTAGCCTGGTTCAGGACTGGGGTAGGTGCCATGGTAGAATGGCTCGGACTGGCATGACTCATCCTCTGCGTCGGTGTTACATTTCGCATGATAGGCGTAGCGTGGGACATGGCAGGAGTGCCTTGAGTCATCTGTGGTGTTCCATGGCGGCTCTGTCCTTGCTGACTTCTTGAAGCTGCCATTGGATGGCTCATGGCGGGGTGCGCGTGCTGTATCACCGACGGTGGTCTCGAAGGACTTCCGGCACCCTGCATTGAAGACGTCATACTCATAGGAACCCCGGCTTGCGTTGTCCTTGTGCCTACGACCGGTGATGATATGTGCTGAGGGGTCTGGTTGCGTACCACAGGAGATGACTGTGGCGCCTGACTGGCACCATTTGATTGAGCCATGGCATGTCGAGTTTGTTGCTGCGCTGCCAATTGTGCCTGAGCTTGCTGCGCCGCGAGCTGTTGTCTTCGAGCTTCTTCCTTGGCATGCTCCTCGGCTTGTCGCTGTTCAGCAAGACGGCGCCGCTCCCTCTCTTGCTCCTGTTGCTGTCGCTTGGCCATCTCTTGCTTGACCTTGATCTCATGGTCTCGCTTCGCCTTCTCTTCGTGTTGCATACGGATGTTCTCAAGCGTCTTAAATCTCGAGAAGCGTGGCTCAAACGGTGCGCCACCACCAGTGTCATCGACAACAGCTGATTTTGGCCCACCGGCACCATTGGAGGAAGCTGGCTCCAGACGCTCATCCATGATGAGCATGAAACGCTCTTCCTCCGCTGCGAGGGCTTCGTCAGCGGCAAGTTCGGCCACAGTCCGCTTCCTACGCTTGGGTGAAGGTGGTGGATCGCAATGAAGCGGGCTTTCCATGTGCTTCAACAGATCATGAACTCCATCAAGACTACTGACGGACCCAAGGTAGAGAGGGGGAGCCAATGCTCTCGTCAACCTGGCCTCACACTCTAAGAGATCCTGGGGTTCCACCAGCATCTTCTGTTTCTTCGCTGGAGGCGCACGATCTTGCTGGGAATTGACGGCCGCCCCCGGCTTCGGGGAAGACGGTGCTGTAGAAGAAGACCCTTGCGGATGGGATGTCGAGCTGACTGCCGTCTGCTTGGCCGCTTTGGGATCAGGTGTAGTGGCGAGAAGAGTCAGCTCGGCTTGAAGCGAACGGGGCGTAGGGTGTAAGACAGTGGTAAACACTCGAGGTTTCGAAGGCTGTTTTGAATGAATGAATCTCGAATCCTTCTGCGAAGCTTGCGAGTCCAAGTTGCCGGGCTGCTCACTGCCCGACTTGACATCCTGCTGGCTTTCCGAAGCCGCCTCCTTTGCGGAAGGCTTCTCCGAAGTCAACTGGTTCAGCTTCGGGTAAGGCACATAGGCAGATGGTGTGACGTGCTCGTTGTAATTATGTATAGAAAAGGGGGTGTTGTTGTCATTCGATGACGGCACGCTTGACTTCCGAGTCTGCTGCGACACCGATTTGTGATCCACCACGCGGACAATTAGACAGCCTGCTTGGCGCGTGACTAGTTAGCCGAGCACCTATCAAATGTGCCGTATAGGGGCAATAGCCTGCCTTCATAGAACCGAACATTGGCCCTCAACAGCTCCTCCATCATGTCATGGGGAACGGTTTGAGAGCGGATATGTTCGATGATGACCTTCATCTCCGAATTATAAGGAAAGCTCCCATCTTGCTGCTCAAAGCGGAAGTGGGTCGGATGAAGGTGGAGAATCAGCGAGGGAGGGTGTTTGGAGAACTTCTTGAGAATATATGACGTGGTTTTGACTACCGGAAACGCGGATCCACGTGTTAGTATCAACTCCAAGCGCATTCATCGAGGCGACCGCGGAAGCTCACCGAAGGGCTCTGGACACCGCTTTCCTGCTCGGCGATCGCTATCAATTGACGAGGCCCTTGAAAATGGCTTCTGTAGCCGCCCGGCCTGCTCGCCGGCCTTTTGCGCCTCTTTCTTCGTCCGGTTCTGGGGGCCTTTGGACGGTGCGCCCGCACTGGCCGTGCCATTGACGCCATTCGCCATCGGTGCGTTCTTGGAGCCTGCAGCAGCCGGCGTTGCAGATCCTGGAAGGTGCTTTGCTGTAGAAGAAGGGGAGGTTGAGGATTGTTGGGACTTAACACCGTTCATCCCGGTCTGAACAAAAGGCGGGGGAGGTCGTTTCATCTTAGGGGGATGCGAATTGGGCTTGGAGATTGCCGTCGCCATCCTGCGAGCAGGGAGCTAGCGACGCGACGAGAGGCGACGACGAGTGAATGCGACTGCGCGTTATGGGCGAAGCCGGAGGCGATGGGGGAAGGCCGTGAGTCGTCGTCGTCGATGGATACAGCCGGAGCGCGAGACATGTGGGGAGCGGAGGTCGGAGCGGCACGACAACGAAGGGGCCGGGATACGGACACTTGAACACAACGCGGAGTCGCTACAGAAAGTAAATCGGGGAGTCCATCGAACAGACACCTGCAGCAAAAGCAGGGGAGGTTCGAGAAGATTGTATCGGGGGTGGTTTCAGGGCTGACCGTTTGGCTCTCTGCGTCAAGTGAGAGGGAGTTCGGTCCAGCCCAAGGCCGCGGACGACGTGAAGGAGGCTGGGTCAGGTGATATCCGCATCGGGTTAGCGTCGATTGAGGGTTTCCTCTATGATGTCTGTTTCAATGACCGGGCACGTTGATTCGAGCTACAAAAATGAACCGTTGCAAGAGCATAAGAGCATAGCATTGATTATGCTGTACTGTATATATTCACATGAAAGCGACTGGCAGAAAGAATTCGCACATCATCATGGCCGGGGAATCAAACGAAAATGCAGAGAATCGTCAAAGTAAGGGAATTTGGCGGGTAAAGCTATAGACATACGAAGTGTCCATGACACTTCGGTTGCTCCAGTGAAACTGGCCGAGCCCGAAAACTCCCTAATCAAAACCAGATACTCGTCGTCGCCAATCGTCGCCAACCCGGAGCGCATCGACCACATCGATGCGCTTCCCGAGCCCGGTGGTGCCCTCCTTCTGCCACCATTTCTCGCCTTTATCCGCCAAAGCCGACTCGTCATCGCTATCGATCAGACCGCCGCGGCCACCTTCGTCTCCAACCACGACAACCACCTGTCTAACCCAGCCGGAAATGTGATGGACCGCCTCCCCGTCTTTTCCAGCCAAAGACTCTTGAACATACACAATATCCGGGGAAATGTGTCGCACAAGATGCACGAAGCCAGTGGCAGTGCTAAAGGGCATGATTGCGTTTGGTTTCTCAACAAGAGCCTGAGCTTGTGTGTACAGGGTGCGAAATAACGGGGAGGTGCCCTCGTGCTCGTCCGTCGCACGAGACTCGCCCGACAGTTCACGGCCAGGTACCTCACCCGGCGATGTTGCTTCCTCGGGAGCAATATTGGAATAGGAAGAGGTGACAGACAAGGTAGGTGGAGAGGAGCCGCCTTGGCTCGGGGCATGCTTCAGGCCTGGCGCATAGATCATAATGAAAACACGGGTGGTGTCGAGATTGACATGTTCTGGAAGGTGGGAAAGGATTGACTACAAGTACATTAGCGCGACGAGCTCAGATCATGGTTGCACTGCAGAACATACCGCATGCTGCGACATAATCTCCTCAGGATCCACCCGAGGAGTTTCAGAGGACACCACAATCGCGATAGTCTTTCTCTTCTTGTCGGTGGGAGCAGGGCCAGTGACGGCTTCGCGGGTAGTTGGCGCAGCGCGAGCCGGCTGTTCTCTCTGGTTGGCTCTGGATTCTACTTCTTCCGACCACCTTGAGTGGTCTTCAAAGTCTCCTCTATCCTCCTCCCGGATCGATGTGAGAGCTCCGCCGACGAAGGCTCCGGCCGCGGCCATTCCCGCAGCGACTCGCTTGCTGGCGCCGTCAAGTATCTGCTGGGGGCTGGGTGTGCGACGCAAGGCTCCCTGCATGCGTGCCATCATGCTGGCATCTTCAGGATGGTCGCCGTGGACATCTGTTGCTGTTGAGCGAGCATACGTTCCCTCGTAGTGGCCGCCAGCATGATAAGCCTCACTACCAGGACCCGAGGCGGGGAAAGGTTCATCGTCGCGGCGGCGATCGCGATCATTTTCGTCATCGTCATCTTCGCTGCGTTCGCTCCAAATCCAAGCGGCAATGCCCACGGTCGCGATACCTACAGTCAGGGCAAGTGGCACCCAATAACCCAGGACGGTTCGTCTCCCCGAAGAGCTGAAACCCGCTCCGGCTCCGACCCGCCGACGGCGAGCATCCTGGGAATAAGGGAAAGACATCGGGATGGTTTTAAGTCAATGAGAAGAGACACGTAGACTCAGACAAGTTCCATTTAGCCGAGCATCACATCTCAAGCTGGAGGGAAGAAAGGGGCAGGCGCCAGGGTAGGCCGGTGTTGGAATGGGAAAGGGATTAAGAGTAAGAAGCCGCGCGCGGGCTGACCTCGGAGGGAGCAAGAAACATGTGGCTGGTGATGCTGGATTAACCGCGGGATGTTTTCAGCCAGTAACAGATAATGTTAACTACGGTAAGGTAAGCTACTCCGCCGGCGGGCGGATAACTTAGTGTGGAGGAGCAGTAGCAATCCGGGGCGCGAGGTTGACCAGAGATGCTGTCCTGAAGTTTGCGACATTTGTCTTGTTTGCAGCTACTGCAGCCCGACCCGCGATTGCTGAGTCAGTCGATGCTATCGGCGCATGCTGGTGGGATTTTGGTTAACAAACGACCCTGACTCAAAGACCAGACCCAGCAAGAAGCAGTCTGATGATCTCGAGCTCGTCGACCTCTGGAACCCTTTGAAACGCGGCCCAGACTACACATGCCCTAGAAGACTCAAGCTTCAACTATAAAAAACGCCTTCCTTGACGACGCCTGATACCCAAAACTACCTATCCCCTCCACCCCGCGTCAAACTTCCGTCGCAAAATTTGTATGGTTGACCGGCCGACTTTGTGAACCATACATCCTCTTCGAGTTCCCCGGACTTCTAAATCACAAAATTTTTGCATAGATCTCAGCATGCCGCACTCGGTTCCAGTGCCCAACACGGGCATTCAAGCCCTCATTCTCTGCGGGCCTGGTGTGAGTTCGATTAACTGAAACTAGGAAGCAAGCGTCTTACTGACCCCATTTTAGGTCAGTCTGAATACCTTCACCTCGAATGAGGACTCTCCCAAGGCTCTTGTCCCGATCGCCAACAGGCCAATGATCTACTACCCACTAGACTGGTGTTATCGCATGGGAATTACAAGTCAGTGACTGCCACCAATTGCGCTGGAATTGCGCCCAAACAGTCTAACAATGCCAATCGGATGTAATAGATATCACAATCGTCACTCCTTCTGATATCAAGCAGCCATTAGAAAGTGCCATGGGCACAAATCCATACTTGACTTCCCTTCCGTCCCCTTCGCCGTCGATCCTGTCGCCGCCCGACTTGACCATGACCACCGGAACTGCGGAATTGCTCCGCCTCCCCGAAGTCCAGTCATGCATCAAGTCCGACTTTCTGCTCCTTCCCTGTGACCTGATCTGCGATATTCCGGGAGAGTCTTTCATCGAAGCATGGATGGCACAAAGCGCGCTAGGGGGCTCCGATGGACCGAAGACCGTTGGGTTGGGAGGTGGCAGTCCTCGCGGTGGACTCGCTATGTTCTACCAGACCAAGGGCCAGGAAGAGAGCGTGAAGGGTGAGGCCACGGATTTCGTGGCTACCGTCCCCCTCGAGGAAAACGAAGCACCAGCTGTGTCTCACCCGCTGGACGGACCCGCTGCGCTGCGGTTCGGACTGTCAAAGCTGGCTCTCTCTATGCCGATGGACACATTGAAGGAGAACATGCAGGAGCAGAAGGGCTTGCTCATTCGGCACTCTCTGGTCAAGAAACACCCCCGGATTAAGCTACTTACCAGTTTCCGAGACGCAAACTGTTATCTTTTCCCGTACTGGGTGTCCCGGTTCTCGCGTCTCAACGAGCCATTCGAGAGTATCAGTGAAGACCTTGTGGGATGGTGGGCAAAGGCAGGGTGGCAGACGGGGCTGGGAGAGAAGCTTCACTTGCGCGAGATCCTCCAGCCAGAGAACAAAGGAGAGAGCGGAAGCCAGGATGGAGATTCGTTGGAGGATGAGATCGATCTGAACTCCATGATCTCTACGAAATCGGGGGCTGCAGTCGCTCGTGAAGGGGCCTTCTCCGATGACATCCAGTTCGCCTCCCGCGTTCAGAATCCCGATGCAGAGGATGCAGACAGCGCAGAGCCCCTGCATGTTCCTCCGATCCTGGCATACATGCACTCTTCCAAAGCGTCGGCGCCACTGGTTAGACGCGTGGACAGCTCTGCTCTGCTCCTGAGCGTATCTTTGAAGCTGGCCAAGCTGGAAGCAATCGAGGAGGTCGGCCGCGTGGCCGCCTCTCCTTTCGCCCACAACCAGAAGATCAACGGCACATCGAATGTGGCGCAGAGGTGCACCGTCACCAAGGCTGACTGCTTGATCGACATGAACACCACTATCAACGAGAAGTCGGTGGTCAAGGAGAGCGTCATTGGAGCCAACTGCGTGATCGGAGTTGGCGCAAGACTGACGAGGTGTCTGGTCATGGATGGAGCCGTCGTCGGAGAACGTGCTCAACTGTCCGGCTGTATCATTGGCCGTAGAAGCAAGATCGGACGCGAGTGCGTTCTCAAGGACTGCGAGGTTCAGGACGGCAACGTGGTTGAAGATGACACTGAAGCGAAGAACGAGAAGTTCATGGTCTTCGAAGGTCTAGATGACGATGAGGATATGGATGGAGGGGACTATGAGGATGATCAGGATGACTTTTAGGTGAAACGCGCTTTGGCAGAAAGCGATAAAAGAGCAATAGAAATACTAATGATGTGATGACACTTTGGATGTCTGACGAGAAGATTTATTTGTTTTTAGAACTATGAAGTCAGATGTCTCTCAGATATGAGGAAAAGAAAACAAGCAAACAAACTGAAACTCAAAGGGCTACATCTTTTCTGCCTGATTGTAAAAACGATTCAATCCTGACGAAAGAGAAGAACCAGAGCCAGAACCGCCTCCTAATCTGAGCTGATGTAGTGGATGTGAATGAAGCGAAGTATACACAAAAAGTGCCACCAAACAAAGCGACTGAGGTAGTGTAGTATGTGGAAGGTGCGGTTGCGGTGCAGTACTTCGCCGCCTCCACAGACGGTGTCAGACAAACCAACCATCAACCAACCAACTTACCAACCCCCAAACTTCACTGCATCATCTCCCAATCCTCGTCACCAACTCCCCCCTCCCAACCCTCGGATTCTTTGTTATAGCCGCATGCAAAAGGGCTGCTGAAGAATGGATGCTCGCCGGATTCCTCCCTCTGCCGCTTATCCTCTTCGTCAGTCAGATAGCACTGGAACATCCACTCCAACTCCTTCGGTTCGTCGCTAGTTCCCTTCTGTTCATCCAAATCCATCTTGTCGCCATCCGCAACCATGGTTCCATTCCCCTGCTGCTGCTGATCGCCAAATCCCGAAAGACTGAAGCCGTCAACCGCAGCATCGGCCGTTCCTCCCAGACACACGTTCCGAAGACGAGCATCGGCACGAGGGTGGACAGCACCGCCGCCTCTACCCAAGCTCCTGGTTGAAATAGGCGAGCACGGCACAATAGTCGTGTCATCCAGGAATCTCACAAATCGAGGACGCTTAGGCTCCGGCCCTGCCTTGGGTTCGGCTGCGGGCTTAGAGTCGACGACGGCCTTCATCCGGGGGTTCGGATTCGCACTGGCAGCATTATTAGGACGATTGTTCCCATTGGGATTACCATCAACAGGCAAAGTGGACAAAACTGGGTATAGTTCCCGCACCGGACGTTTTCCGCGTCTGATCTCTCCGCTACGTCTCTGCTGCATCATCACGGTGGGAGACGACATGAGGTTTGTCTGCGGGTCGTTTGTGTCCTCTGGTACCGCTTCTGGGGCGTCGGGGCCGGTCGACGGAGTGGCATAGGATGCGAAGTCCAGGTCCTGCCAGTAGCTGTTCGTGTCGGCGGGCTGTTTCAGCCAGGAGCGCCGGGTCACAGGGAGCGCGGGTGGACCCATGAGCCCTCCAGTTTGGGGACGAGGACGAGTCCCGTTGAGCGCCGGGGTCGACTGGGGAGTGTTGGGCGGGCGTCTCATGCGAGCGGGTGGGATCGCAGGTCTGGGCCTAAAGACGTTGAGGCGGGCAGAAGCTGGGTTGAAGAAGGGATCATCGCGACTCTGTGCGAGGTTTCTGTGGCCAGTCACGATGTCGGGGGAGTCCGGGTCTTGGGAAACCTCATGTGTGGAACTCTGGGGAGACTCACTGAACCCCGCGCTCTGAGGAGCATTCTGGATCGCTGGGGTGATGCCAAAGGGGATATTTGGATCTGTGTATGAGATTATGGCAGGCAGCTGCTGAACGGTCCCATAGTTGAGTATCGGCATCGGCACATATGGACTTGGTGGATCATCGCTCTGTGTATGTGTATGTGTGTCAGCAAACGTACCGACCCCTGGACCACTGCCTTTCTTGGACGACTCGCAAAGCTGACCTCGACAAATGCTGGCGCAGGAACCGTGCCAAAATGCTCCAGAAGTGTTCCCAGTGCCGATTCTCCAATCCCTAATGTCTGATACTGAGGTCCTAACACCAATCTTGCCGAGCCTGTAGCCTCGTTCTCGACCACGATCGGGGGACAGGACTGCACCTCTGCCACACTTAAAATAGGCGGATGGGCAGCGACGTTCTGAGGCTCCGTGTTCAACGTTGAGTGACTGGAGGCGGAAGAGGAATTCATTGTGACGGCTTCCTGAGAGGTGCTTGCAGCAGGCCTGGCGACAGCAGCAGTGTCGACAACACTCTGCCCCGATGACACTAACACCGCCTGGTAGTACGCCTCTTCCTCCTGCTGATCCTCGAGGCTTCTTGGTCGGAGGTATCCCGGCTGCATCCAGCGACCATGATCCCCCCTGGCGTAAAAGCGTGTCACGCTGTCAGCGAAACCTGGGTCATGACGGGACATGCCAAGGATGGATTCCATCGATTGGATAGTAAAGAGCATTCTCTGCTCTAGGAAGGTGTGCTTGATTGGGGGGTCACGACAAATCAGACAGGGACTTGCAATCGTCACGTTTCTAGCAGGTAGTTCCTGGTGATTTGGCATCTGGTGATGGGAACAGCGCTCTCTGAGGGCCCAGATATGGGTGCAGGAGTAGATGTGTATCTCCATGCGACACATCCTGACGGTTGATATCCTGCGGATTGGTTGGACCTCGGTGTTGGCGTGTGTCTTTAACACGTCCAGATGGACTCCAGTCAAGCTCTTGCCGGTGGGGAATCACAGTGTAGCGGATGACTTGGTAGAGCGACACGGCGTGTTGTGAGGTTGTGAGTTCATTCTCTCAGCGCCGCAAGCGGGTCCTCTTCTTGGGATCGTGGATGCGCATAAAGCAGGCTGGTGTTTGGGATCGTGTGCGCGCGTAAAATTAGCCTAATTTATGCGCATATCCTGGGGGGTGAGGTGATATAGCCCTAGTGCAGGTGCAGAGAACTGGACTTTGATCTTGACAAAAGAGTGAATGGCGCTCAGCAGCAGTAGTAGCAATATAAAGAGACCGCATATTGTGACTTGTGATTTGCAGATGAGTTTGGCGGATCTAGTATGTATGTAGTAGGCTATCTCTTTATCAAGCGGTTAACAAGGTTGCATATCCCAAACTGTATGAAGTTGATGCTGTACATGATGTAGGTTATAGCTCGACAAGCTAAGTGTAAGTCACTGAGCAGAGCTAGAAGCTCTAGATCCTTGAACACATGCCCAAGGATTCTCTGATACTACTTATACTTCTCCTGGTCTGGATAGCCATTGTTGATGATTATTTCTTGTTCATATACAACACTACACCTATGCATGAGGACCTCTTGCTTGCAACTTTGATCTGTATAGCCAAGCCTTTGAGATATCTCATGCCACAACATCTTAAAGTATGCTCTGTATATGATGTGCCAAGGTAATCTACAGATACATTATACACATCATGATGCTGTATCTAGTATGTAAGCACAAAAGAGCATAATTTACTAGAGGTGTAGATTGGTATGCAGTATCTCTTACTCCAAGAACCCAACACGACTATCACGTACAGCAGAGAATAGCTTACGAGAGGGCAGATCTATGTACAGTACCCTATGCTCTGAGATTTTGAAAGCCATGCAGCCTGAATTTCTACAACTATTACTAACAGTGGAGCATGGCTTCCTAGAGATGCAGGACAAAGTATAGTACCTTGTAACTACGTATCTCATACGTCGGGTTAACTCAATGCCTGTCAGCCTGAAGATCCATCGCCTTCGAACCATTAGAAACAGCAAGTGCAAAATCCTAGAGGTACAGATTGATGTCCATTTGTACTTTAGGATACTGCATGCCTGGCAGTTTGAGAGCCAATCCTCTTACAGCTATTATCTCGAACTATTCAACCACCGTCATAGTTATAACCACGTAGAATCCATCGAAGAATCCACCGATCTCGTCGAATATGTTTATGTCAGATTTAAAGCCTAGAGCCTCAGCATGGAACTTGTGCATGGAATTTGGAGCATAGAATTCACAGCATAACCCAAGACCAACTCATAAGCATCCATCCCTCCGTGCCCTAAGTTTGAACAACACTCCTCCCGCCAATTCACCACGTTAGAGAGTTTAGGTTAAGTTAACGGAAGGGCCAAAGAAAAACCGGGTACCCACCGGCGCACACCCGTGTCTGTTGCAGCTCCACTAATTATGCTTCTTGTTTCGCGGGCTGTTCGATTTCATCTTTGTTTGGGGCAATTCCGCAGCATGACAAAGAAGGAGATTAAGGATTCCAGCCTGGGATTGTGGGATGCATACGTATGTGCCGGAGGATATGATGGCAGTCCGAGATTGAGGAAGAAGATCTGGTTTTGTTTGTACAGTTGATGACGAGAGTGATGGTGATGATGATGATGATGATGATGATGATGATGATATCAAGAAGATCTACGCTCCTTCCGGACCGGTTCAATGGCATGATACTTACTCATGAAAGTTATGTCAATGTTCCCGTCTTTATCGTCACTTGCTTCTTGGGTGATTAAATTGGAACTATGGTTTGATTAGGTTGCTGCTCATGCTTCTGCTTCTGCTTCTGTTTCTCTTGTGGACCCCGCAAGTGAAGTGGGTCAAAACCGGGCGGTTCATGTCTGAGATGTTGTCTGCCGTCTTTCAGTTCTTACAGATTGTTTCAATTTCAATAAGAGAAATTTCGGCTGTATGTTTCTCCGAATCTTCGGGCAGGAAATGTTGGGGAGATGTGGCTCTCTCCCTCATTCTCTTGCTTTGAAACACTTACGTAGGAACATACGAAAATTGACTCGGCGGACAGCCAGCAGGAGCAGATAAGCCAGCGAATTACTACGCAACAACACATGCAAAGCCCGATTCCGGGAGAGAGTTGGCGCCTGTCAGGTTTTACTCTCTCTCTCTCTCTCTCTCTCTCTCTCTCTCTCTCTCTTGCCTCGGGATTTCTGAGGAGATTCCAATATCGATCGAAATATCCAGTAACAACGTCTGTCGCATACATGACTCGGAACAGTTGAGTGCCTCTCTCAGGCTGGCGCAAAAAAAAAAAAAAGAAAAAAAGAAAAAAAAAGGTACAGTACGTGTGAGAGACTTTAAAACTAACCATACAGATCACAGAAGCTACAATTCTTTTTTATTTCCCTCTGCCCATGGGAGATGAAGATTTGATCGCCGTCGGCATCTTAAAACCGAGTAAGAAGGTCGGGTCAGCAGCCTAGCGGAAATGAATCCTTACGCGAACAAGTCAGCGACAACCCCGCTTGGTGGTTTTCCGATTGCAGCGACATGCAGATGGCGCTAGTGTGAGAGTGGATGACAGTCTGTTTCTACTTCCAACACAGGCAAGTACTTGTACTTTCTTACTGTACTTTGTTGTTCGAGGGGGATGGGATTGAACTAATTACAATGCTTGATGGACTTTTCATCAGACTTCTAGTTTGATTGCGAGCTGCGTTGATTGGGGGGTTTTGAAGCGGTTGTCATCTCGCTCTGCTACTGTCACTGACAGAGATGATCTAGTATGAAATAAATGCACACCTATACTGTCTATTCTCCGGTCGCTCGGTAAACTCCAGAGTCAGATATCAGACAAGTGACGGAACTTAGGTCAGATGACGGTCTGGAGGCGCGATGTGGTATGTACTACGACCCTATCAGGCTGGAGGGCAGTACTCCGGGGAGGGAAGGAGGGTATAGTATTCATAGTTAGGCAAGCTTATGGTGGCCATGTATACACAACCTCCCCTGTTTCTCCAAATCCAAACGAGAAAAAGTACCATAGTTTGTTCGTCATATTAGACGACGACCAGGGGTGAAGTCTGCATCCTGGTGTGGTTCTTTTTACCTCCCAAAACAATCACAGCGTGTTGGCCGCTAGGCTAATGTCTGAGGAGATCAGAGGGGAAATACCGTCTCCGTAGTCACTAAGCAATTAAGGCGTTTCAGGTATATCTCCGTGATGAGTAGGGCACACTGCTGCGGAGTATTTGTTGGGCTGTTTGCAGCAGCAGCAGCAGCAGCAGCAGCAGCAGCAATAATATACTCGGTATGCATAGTGATGTGTCCCTGCCTAGTCTTGGGCTTGTTCTGGACCTTTTACTCCTTTTACTCCGTAATTTCACACATATGGTCTACTGGAGAGGGGAAAAGAGAGATATCTTAATCTCGACTGCATGGATACTGGCTGGGATTTTTATCTCCGTGCGGCCAATCAGACTGCCAGATAGTGGATGGAGGTTGCCCCTCCCTGCAGGTTGATTGTCGTTTCAATCTATTTGTTTATCTGAGCACGTTGAGACTAAACTTCCTGCAGTACAGGGACGAAAAAGCCTCCCCCATCCCCCCTCCGCCCTCGGGAACAGGGTAGGGAAGTTTGCCACGAGTGGAGAAAGTAGCTCGCGGGTTGTGATTTTTCAGGGTTCATGACTCTTGGTGAGATGATGATGAGATCAAATGGCTTGGCTGGCGAGCGTTGGCGCGGGGACGTCCTGCATTCATGGTTCAGCTGGCTATAGGTATACTAAAGCTTGAGTGACGGGATGCGATAGATAGCTGATAGCACAAAGGTAGATAGGTGGTGGCGATAAGAAGGATCTATCCGTGTGTGTAGGATATGTTGCCGACCGGTGCTTTGCGAGTATACTCTGTACTGACTGGAAAAGAGAGACTTCTGGTAATGGTAGCAAAGGATATTGAGATGTTTTGCCCCTTTTCGCAGGCAGGTCTACTCGAACATATCATTGAAGAAACTCTGACCCAGTGAAAAGAAATGCTTACCAGGCAGCTCTTGGGAAGCAATACATCAACTAAGCTGAGCATCACACATTGTAGCGATTGAATATGATGGACAACAGCCACAGGAGTACTCCGACGCATCAAGCAAATCGAACCCATGCAGTCAGTCAGCTTCGAATAAGTAATTGCCCGCAGCAGCTGCGACACCAGAATCTTGCCGTACACAACCACCCATGTCCCCGCCCTGAATTTCGAACCATTAGCCAGCCAATGACTCCGGCGGGCATATCGAAGCAATCAATTGTTCCCTGTCACCCGCGCCACCAGCAACCAATCGATAAACCTGGAGGATGTAACCCCCCTCATTCCAGGACAATTGATTCGAATTCTTCGCTAGCTCGTTCACAAAATCCGGGGTCAATTTAGCCGGTCCAGGCCCCTGACCCCGGCGATAGTGACTTGACCTTTTTTTTTTCCACTCTTTTGCTTTTCGGTGGAATATTATGAGGGGACTGTATGTATTGTACGCCCGGGGTCTCTTACTCCATCTTCCTATCATCGGATGGTCTAACGGTTAAAGGCCTCCTGGAAAGCCTTAGAGTGCTTGTTGTTTCTGCAATGATAGAATGAGCTTGTTGATCGGCTGCCAACGTGTATTGTAAAGGCGGTGGGTTTGAATCCTGTGCTGATCAGGTCCTTTAGAGCTTTGTATAAAAAAGCACCTCTACAAGACCTTAGGCACCTGTTTAGGAACGGAGGCGCAACATAGTGGTTATACTGTGTAGAAGTTTATATATATTAAAGCGGGGCCTTGTATAGACAGCGATGACGGTGGAGGTTTTTTTTTTTCGCAACTACGGACCTCGGGCTAGCCCCGGAGAGACTGTGGCTTTAAGAAGGCGAGAGCAACCGGCCTTAGCTTCAACTGTAGACGTAAGGGAGGGGAATGAAGTTACGGGTTGTATACTAATGTGCCACGAGGATGTTGGTTGTCAACGATTTGAGGTTTCAGAGGAGAGGTGCTGGGACGTGTTTAATATGATTCTTCTTGGTTGTTGAACTAGCTACGTTCCCGCATGTAAACAAGATGAGAAGGCCTTTGGAATCACGTGGCCGGATTACTTCGCAACGCTGACATTGGTCAACGTGGCCCGGTTGAGGCTAGGGGGGTCTTTTGTATAACAGGAATTGGCCCGTATACTTGTAATTAGTTATAACGGGGATAGAAGTCCAAGGGTTCGCCACCGTTGGTGGAACTACCGTCAAACATTTGTTAACTGGCCTACAAGGCTACTGTGACCTGCCGCCACTCGGCCATCTGGCTGGCATTTGTGTGCATGAAATAACTAATTGATCAGTCAATCATGAGCATGGATCTGTTCCTGGATTATAACTCGTACTCGGGGGATATGACAGACAAACAAGACGTCATTTCCCACATGCCATGTGAGATTTCCATTTCCATGGGGGGATTTAGATTTCGATCGTCCCCGGATTCCGCGGTCAATGCTGGTTATCTTGCCTTGGCTTGCTGGCCTGACTTTTCAGGCGACCGATTTACTAAGTACAGTACTGCATCCGCGGTCGCGGTTCAAGCCGATGATTTCTTATTTACTGGATGGTGATTTGCGGATTTTGATCGTGTTTGAGGCGAATGAAGTGACCGGAAATGCCCAAGCAAGGCGCAGAGCTCTATGACGGAATTGTGAGTACCTACCTACCATACTGCGAGTAGGAGTATGTGCCGAACCCGCGGGGTGAAAACCGCAAATCGCCGTTGAGCATTTGCCGTTGTGCTCGGGGATCATATCATAATTATCTCATTGCTCTGATTGCCGGGCTATAGGATTGCCAGGATTTGTCGGCTTTTTCGAAGTATCATGGACGCAGTAGAGACAGGGAATGACTGATCGCTGAAATGTCAGATTTCCAGTGCGCAGTTTTGATGATGATGATGGTGTGGTTCAATCTGCTCGATTCTTAGACAGATGACTGTTTGCTTCCTTGGAGATTGAACTTTTGGAGTGGAACTGTGGTTTTGTCCATCGGATAGCTTATCGAAAATGTGCTCATTGTACTGCGTACAGTATGATGTCAATGTTGTTTGTGCATAGTGCATAAGTCATCGAACACGAGTAGAGCATGTCTTGTATGAGTACGGGTGCAACGTTTATTTGATTCTCTGCTCCTAGTCTCTGCCAAGTTGCTCCGGCAGCTCGCTTCAGTGGTGGCAGTAATGTGAATGCCTAGATAACGTATCGGTTAGACGAGCGGAAAGTGGTTTTTCTGGTTCCTTCCCTTGCTCCACTTCCAAGCTGTCTACCGAGGAATGGCCTGGTGGGATACCAGCAAGATGGTCTACCGGGCTCGGTGGGGTGTTCGGTCCGAGTATACGGGGTCCTCCTGCGTACTCATACTCGGCAAGGGGGAAGGGGGCCCTAAGTTGGAGGAATTAAGGGGTTTGAGGGAGATGTACTGTTCACAGTATGAGTATGAGTATGATAAGAGATTAGATGGAAGGGAGGGTCCATAGCATCTAGTTGTCATTGCGCAATTACTCGGTAGAAGTTGGCAGTACTGGTCATAGGCTTCGATTGCATGGATAGCCGTCTTGTCTAGATGGAATTGTTTGCCCTTTGTGGTCCAGTATGGATAGAGACGGGCACCGTGGAGGTGGGGAGGGAGATTGAGACACAAGACGTGAAACTTGATGGCAGTGCTGCCCGCTGCCCACTGCCCACTGTTCACAGCCACGGTCCGGTTCAATCTACCTTTGTGGACCATGTGCCCGCCGCGGTTTTCCTAGCAGGCTGGGGAGGTGTGGCTAGCTACGGAGTAGCTGTCTTGTCAAAGAAAAGATGTTGATGGCGATAACTATGGCGACGTTGCTCTTGTCGATCACGCGGGAACTCCTTACAGGGGATCTGCAGTGGCACTAACCACATGAGAGTCTGTGAGCGCGAGAGGGCGAGAGAGAAAGACCACCAAAAGGAGGGGTGGGCAGATGAATTATCCACATCATTGTGGATTGTGTGGGAGATTCACGATTCACGGTACTGTACCAACGATCCGGGTTTCAGTTTAAGATGAAAGCCTTCGGTTACCCATCTGCGAAATTACTTGGTAATTCAATCAAACGTGGTAGGCGCGTTGGCAGCCTGAGATGAGCAATGAGAGTTGAGCTCGTCGTGAGCTTTGAGTCTTGAGGACACGAACCCGCGGGTTGAACCCATCCCAAGTGGGGCCCCTTCGACAATCTCCGCTCCCAAGCCAAACCGCAACAACACCAACACCCTGTCTCCCCCGTCCGTCCCGCTTGATCCTCAGGTAAACAATGTACCGAGTACTGTACGGAATATACGGAGTACACATTTCTGTACTTATCTCGGTCGGCCTGGCAGACTGGCACGTCCTGGGCTGAACCGATCTTCCGAACGCCCCATGACCACGACAAGTGGGAGAAACTTGACGGATCAGATAGTAAGCTTTGGGCTCACCGACAGTGAGCAGCACAACCAGAACCTCAGAATATAGTTCTGGTCGACCAGGCTATTGAATCTATCTCCTTCTCTTTACGAGCCCCTTCTCGCTTCTTATCGTCTGATAGATACCCCTTTACTCCAATATACGAATGAGAACTTCCACAGTAGCAGTACTTAAGCGTAGTTTAGTTATCCCCATACAGCATCAGTAAGCGAGTCCTTCCCCGTCCAGCTATCCAGAGTCTCGGGTTCAGCCCCAAGAAGAATGTTGCCAAGCTTTGAAACATCCAAAGAGATTAACTTTGCGATCTGGAAGCTCGGATTGCCTGCCTAATTGCCTACCTGCCTATAGTAGACGATGGCCGAATATCCGCCACATACCTTAAACTCAGTTTTGCCTCAAGCGGCTCATCCTCGATCGTCTCTGACATGATCCGTTACGAAAGGCAAAACGTTGTTTCAAACCCTACAGTGGCCGAGAACTTTCCGAGGGAGGGCGTAAGAGAGAGAGAGAGAGAGAGAGAGAGAGAGAGGGTGAGAGAAAAAGAGTTGAATGGTGTGTGTGCGTGGCTACTGCAATGCACTGCGTCAATAGCCAAAATTCTAACTCTGAAAGATTAGCTTGTAGATTTTTCAGTCGGATTGACAACCAGTCCGGATCTTTCCATGCTTTTTTGTTTGTTGTAATGTAGCTCTACTTCCTTGGGTGCTTCTCTTGATTCTCCTTTCCCAATCCGTATTCTGCCCTACAGTTGGATGTGCCCGTTCGCTCGATGCTTTGCGTGGCTGGCTGTCATCAATTGGAAGTATAGAAGGGACTTATGTGATCTACCAATCCCGAAGAAGACGGTCAATATTCCAAATGCACCCCATAGATGCATTGCGAATCCAGCGTCTCTTACTCAGTGCTACGCGATTCCGTGATGCTGAAACGACTTGTTGTTCGGCTCACTTGAGAAGAGCTGACATCACCTACACTTTTGACGATAAAGCATGCGGAGGGAACTCGATAGGTATATCAGATATATGGTACAGAGCACCAACCTTACCACTTACCACAATTGAAGGAAGACTGGATCTTGAGGGTTCACAGTTTCATGGTACCAACTCGGGACATCCGATTCATTTCGTATTGCAAACGATTTAAGTTGGCGGTCCTCCCCAAAAGAGGAAACCAAGAACAGACCGACAACTACGACGGCAGATGGTTGAATCATAATGATCTGTTCCATGGTACACAAAGCTCCGTAGGATTCTGCGACACGGGAATTTGGCCGCAACCGGAGACGAAAAGAGAAGCAGGAGCCTAAATCTCATTTCATTCAGAGAAGGGGGGGCGACACGAAAACGCGGGTTATGCCCATTACTCTTCATCGTGGGTTACACGCTGGTGGAACAAATTGAACCACGGAACTAGTCGACGGGAGGATCCCACTGGTTGCTGGGGATTGGAATGACCTGACTCGATTTCATGGGAAATTCGAACTTGTCGTTATGGGAGTTTGGTACTCTCAGGGGAATTTGAGTTCAACTGCTTTTTGTTTTTTTTTTTTTTTTTTCCACTGTTTTTTGTTTTTTTTTTTTTTTTTTCCTCAGTGTGTGTTCTGTTCGTTTTCAAATGGGTTGTGTGCTTGGTGACTCGGAGAATTAACAGGTTCAGTTTTGATGGATAGTAGTACACAGATGGCAGCCATAAGATACTTGTCGTGTTTGGGAAGAACGAGACTACCACCAGTTGCATCATACTGAAGCATAAGGCGGGAAATCCGGGGTGATGTTGATGGTTGGTGAGGTGATGATCTTCTCGGTGAGATCATTGTACAGGAGAAACCCTTCCGGGATTCCTCCCCCATGAGGCTGCGTCGAGTTAAAACCCTTTCTGTTCCTTCTACAACCAAAACTATTTTTTGGCATGGTAAATAAAGATTACAAAGCTAGTTTCAGGGGGAAGATGCTCGGTAAGACCATCTAGTGCCGGCCATGCTAAAAAAGAATGTGTGGGAAGTGGTTCACTTGCAGGAAGTTCATTCAGCAAGAAACCCTGGACATTACTATCGGTCTGGTATAATAATGGCATTAATCTATTATTATCCACGAGGGAAGGCCCCTCTTATGCCCATCGGTGCAAGGCGGCAACAGTCCCGCGACCGAGGGAACTTTCCCCTTCGCGGTTGCCGACTAGCTACGTCCGGACGGTTTCTCCGAGCTTCCGTAGCATTTTTCTGGTTTTCTGGAAAAACCTGGGCAGGACTGCCAGGACTAGCAGTCATGGCGTGACGGCTAAGAATTTTAGTTGACGTGTGGCTGCAAATCAGCTTCCAATTTGCTCCGTTCCCATCGGACTATCCAGTTCGCTAGGAACGCATATGGTCCCAGTTATGGGCTCATGCACCTAGCACGTTCTGTTCAGTTCTTCTTCTTATACCGAGGAGGAGTTGCTGCTGCTGCTGCTGCTACTACTGTTGCCCCCCCCCAGACGGAGATGCAAATCAGGGCAGTGAAAAGGAGGCGGCTCATCTCAGCCTGAGGCAGGACAAGTGATCAAACACGCTGACAGTATGCAATTCAAACTTCGCAAGCTCATTACTAAGAACGTACAAACACCTATCATCATCACCATCGTCACCATCATCACCATTACTCACCCACCCCTCTAGAAGTACGTAGAAGAGATCGATCTTACTTATCCCACTTATCATCTATCGATATCTACCACGGAACCAGGCACCGGCCGGCAGATTTACTTACGCCCCGTCCACCATCCACTCCTAGCCTCCCCAGGTAACCTTAGTTTCTTCGCCTTCGATTACTGTTTCTATCCATGGATGGGGTGGGTTGGCATTAGTATCTGTCCACATGAAGAGAGGGGTTTGCTGCTCTTGACCCGCTCACGTATCGAGGATGGGGAATAGTCGTATCGATAACAAGACTAGGTACGGAATACTTGCTTAGTCTACTGAGTAGGATAGCAAGGCAAAAGGGCAGAAAAAGGCAGAGCATGACTTACAGAGTACAGAGCGAGCAAGACTAGTCCCCAGTCTAGTACCTACTCCGTACTAACTAACCTCCATACTCTCTCCGTACCAGTTACCAGCTGATGGACCCGGGTTTACCGTTTTATGCCCTCTCCAGTCTACAGCCCCAAAGATGTCTTACCCCTATCGTCGGACGAGCGAATAATAATAGCTCGCTGGCTGATGCAGAAGGGAGAGGCCCAGGACCGACTCTCAGGAGAGTAATTCGAACTTTAATCTACCTACGGCTATCGGACTGCGAACGATTCACCGGGGCTGGGTGATACGATTGATTTATCTTCCCATCCACCAGAAAGAGGACCAGAGAGTGATACATGGTAGGTGTCAAGCTTGACAATCACTGCGTTTTCTCAACTACTGCTTCTCATGTATGACTGGCACCTGCAGTAAGAGTAATCTGGACGAAAAATATTATTCTTTGCGTCCTTCTTTTAAGGTTCTCCAAAGAGATTCTGTACTCTCTGTATGTACCATACTGTACAATGTATGTACATACACTTCATCGGTTTTGCCTCGTGGATTTTCTATCAGCAACCACCCACCCACCATCTTGTCCACTTATTTTTTCTTTTTTTTTATTCTCTTTTATTATGATTTTTGTATTCGAGTTCTACCTGGCTGGGAATCATTCTTTTACCTCTTACTTGAAGTGTATATGGGTGATAAAAACCACCAACAAAATAAAATCAGAACATTTGTGAATCAGACAAGCATAGAATAAATAAAAGATCATTGGAATTGGTCAGTGTTAGAGGGATTGGGAGTAAAGAAAGTGTGTGTGCCTGGCGTTCCGTTCTTCTCGCGGTGTCTGGAAAATCCCGTCCGTCAGTCTCCGCCCGCCTGTCAGTCGTCGGCCTCCCCTAAGAGTGAACGAGAGAGTAGAGAGACAGAGTGTGTGAGAGAAACAAGCAGCGCAGCGCAACTCCCATCCCATCCCATCCCATCCCCATCCCCATCCCCATCATTCCTCCCGTCCATTATCTCTCCTCTCACTCTCACACACACACACACACTCTCTCTCTCTCTCTCTCCCTCCCTAATTCCTTTTCCTCTTCCTCTCCCATCTTACCCTTCAGCCCTTTAGGCTCTCCTCTTCTCGTCTTTGTCTTCCTCCATCCGTTTTTTCGCCTACCCCATCTCTTTTTCCTCTCCCCTCCCTCCCTCCCCGTCCTCGCCCGCCGGCCCGTCTTCTGCTTGATTCAGAAGACAAGGTGCCTAGGACTTTCCTCCCTTCACTTCTCCCATTATCTGTTTTCTCCTCCTTCATCTTCTTTCGCCATCCTCGTCCTTATCTTTCAGATTTTCATTTTCAATCTGTGTACATGGCTCGACCGCTTTAGACAGCCTCTGCCATCTTGGAGCCTTGTGTTGCTTCCGTCGTACCTCCGTCGCCAACTCCTCCCTCTTCGATCGCCTGATCCGAGCCCTTCGTTTCCCTTTCTTCTTTTTTCCTCAACAGCATTCGTTCTGCATAACCGAAGCGCATTTTCTTTATTTGTTGTATCAGTATAATTCACTGGCATTTCTTCTAGAATAGGTACGCTCCCTTCGCTATTCCCCCTTCCCCTCTCCCACCCATCCACAACATCCTCCCCCCCCTGGTTGAGGAGGAAAGCACTATCGTGGCTAGAGAGCCATCGACCCTTGAAATTCAACCAATCTGTTAACCCGCTCGCTCTTGTGCAATGCTGACTGACAACTGTGTGTAGCACAGAGTCTCTCCTGTTGTCCCTTTCCCTATTTCTTACTCCTACCCTTGAATACTTCCTCGGA